AATCTATAATTATACACGTAAATAATTTATTTTATTTTAAAAAATTAAAAAAAAAAATGAATACTTCATTAGTATCATAATCGCTGGAATTATAATAAAAATAAAATACTAAAACACTTTTGTTCTTTAGTCCAGTGGAAAATAAAATAATTAATACTTCGTTTTTATATTTTTTACATAATAGACAATATAGAAAGTCAAGAAAATTTAGATAAGTATCTATATATTAAATCCATAAAAATAATATAAACCTTTTTAACTTTTAAAAACACGTACGACACGTATAATATAAGATCGACATAGTGGACATTCAGATAATTGTTTACCACAACGTACACATGTACATAAATGACCACAATCAAGAAAGACACAATCGATATTCGCATCCATACATATTTTGCATAGATTTTCATCTGATTGTTCATTAGCAACTTAAATAAAATCAACAAATGAATTGTTTATTTATAATAAAGTGTATAATTTTACTATTTATATTTGATTCTTTTTGTTGTTGATGATCTCGAAAAAGTAATTCAACTTTATTAATTAATTCTTTTTTTTCCACACATCCCGTCGTGGACACAAAATTTTGTTTTAGAATATCTTTTAATTGTCGAATTGTTAAATCATTAATTGATTGTAATGATGAAACATCATTAAGAGTTATACGATTAGAATTTATCTTTGAAGGAGAACATTCTATTGGATTTTTCATTTCTGATTCATTTGTTGAACTTGAAGAATCGACGTTTGATGATAATGTTGTTTCAATAGGAATTTCCGTTTCTGACTCATTAGTGGGAAGTGTAGAATTGACATTTAGTGATGATATCTAGAAGCAAATCGAAAAAAAAAAATCAAGTAATGAAAATAAAGAATGAAGTCAATATTCACATGAAAAACTCCTATGAAATAAAAAAAGATTACTAAACTTTACAGACTAGCCAAGCGTATCTTTAGCAAAGTATATTTCTATGTTTTCGTTTCTACAACTAACTAAAATAGAATTATGAAAAGAACTATTAATTTCATTTCTGTTTTAATAAATTATTGAATCGAAAGATTTATATTCAATGATTATTAATTCAATTAAGAGTGAAAATTAAAATAATAAATAGTCATCTATATATTTATCATATTTTATTCGATCAAATCAATGATCAAAATAACGTTACTCATATAGTCAATAAAATTTTTTTATTGCATAATAAGAATATAAAATAAAATAAATATTTCAATTTATCATGAGAAACTTAGACAGAACAACTTAGATAGTTCATTTATAACATTAGTAAAAAAAATTATTTTCTCTCAAATAATTAAAAATTTTAATATTCTCTCTTAGTCTAACAATAATAATAGTTAACAAGAATGAGCTCAACTATCTATCTTACGAGTTTCGAATATACACTGTCACTTTTCAATAATTTATAATATTCTAAAATCTTGTATGAACTTGAAATATCGATCGACAAATGAAATTTCTCATGCATCTATTAGACAAGAGGATACATTGAATAAAAGTTTTGATGGTAAGTAAAAACTAAAGTCAGTCATTTAGAGTTCATTAAAACCCAGAGTAACATAAATCGATATGGTTTGTTGTAAGAAACACTTAAGTCAAAAAACCAACGCCGTATAACAAGGGAAATCAATGAATAAAAGTCAGTAATAAATAAAAAGAAGAACAATTCTTTACTAATAGCCTATTATTGAAGAAGATTTATCTATTGTCAATAAATTTCTGTATAACATATTTGATGTTTATGCAAAAGATTGATGTCTAATTTATTTCAATTCTATTATTATGAAATTTTGAAAAAAAAGATTTTCTATATACGCAAAAAAAAAGTAATTAATTTTTTGAAGTTATGCGCCACTGACTTTGTCCTTCAGAAAAAAAAAACTACAGAGAAAGATAATACTTAATAAATAGTAGCTGACAATTATTCTAAGAGAAAAATTTTTAATTTAATCAAATCTAGTTTTGATTTAAAAAAAAAAAACAAGTAAAAATTTTTCATTACGTGTTCATCTGTATTTATTGTGGATTGTTGAATTGGTTGATTATTATCAATATTTATTGCTGTTGTATTATCATTTGATGTTTGAATATTTATTGTCGTAGGTCGTTCGACAAAAACATAATTTTCCTCAGGTATTTGATTTTTTACCGATAGAATTAAATTAATTAAATCTTGTTTTTCAAAACAAGTTTCAACACGATTCAAAGATACTGTTTTGGAATGAATAAGATAAGCACGAAGATATTTTATACGAATAGATGCTAATTGATCATAAGTTGTACGTTCATTCGTAATTAATAAACAAGTTGTACATGAACGTAAACTATTCAATTGAATGAAATTTGTGGTTTTTTGAATACATTTTGAACAAAATATTTGTCCACATAAATTACATTGCTTCTAAAAAATAATTCGAGATCATTGAAATTTATTTTACAAAATAAAATAATAATTCAATATAACACTCGATGAATGACTTCTTCTTCTTTTTTTATTTGCTCATTCAAAATAAAGTCATATTATATCTTATCTATTAATATAATTATATTAGTATCACAAATATTTTAGTTCAATTCGATAGTATTTACTTACTTTTCGTCGAAATAAAGTGTATTGTTGCTGACACTTTTCACATACAGAACTCTGTTGAGACATATTAATTGAATTTGTGTGATAGCCACTTAACTTAGATTATTCAGTATTGAATGACTATACCTTTCTTTTTTCTTGCTAGTCTTGACTATGATGCGTTTAGTAAAAACAAAAACAAAATGAAATAAGATAGTGAATGGTGTAAGAACGGCAAAAACACACTCATACTTTATTTCTATACTTGTCGTCAAGCAAGTATTTGTGAATACAGGTGGCGTCTTTTGGAGAATATATTATAATAGCTCAATCAGAATTGAATTCATCTAGAGAAAATATTTTCTTTATTTATTTTTGTTAATAAAATTTTTGCAGCAATCCGTATTTGTTTTTTTTTTTCGAAATTGCTCTGATTCGTTTTTTGTTTTGTCAAATAATTCGAATTTTCGATACTATTTTTCAAAAGAAAAATTGTCAAAAATAAAAACTAGATGATTTTTTTACTAAAACTTAACTGAATCAGAATGATTTCGAAAATAAAAAGCCAGGATTCATTGTGAAGAATGCTTACATTATTGAAATAAAAATCAAATAAGACGAAGTTTTGACAAATAATATTGACCTTTGCCAAGTATACACTTCACTTTATTTTTCTTGGCCGAAGAATAACAAATAGCCGAACGAAAAAAAAAAAAAAATGAAAACTTTCATTTATTTAACAACAAAAAAAAATAATATAATAAACGTTTTCAATTCTAAATCAGAATATATTTTTCTTCGAATTGTCTTTCAGTGAATTATCATTTATTGACGTTTGAATTCTAATGTAAGATTCGAGATGGTCCGACTGAGGGAAATGTCGGAAGCGTAACATCTAATCAAGAAAATTTTTTGTTTTTTCCCAATGGAACTGAAAATTCTTCGTTCATTCTGTTAGAAAAAAAATCTTTCCATTCTCCCAAAAATTCGTGATACCTACAGAATGTTGGATGCATCAGACTCGTATTATGTGAAATTTTTGTCCTAATTTCTAGTATATCATAAATGAAATTTATATTATTTTCTTAGAAAATTTCGAATTTGATAAAAACAAAAACATATCTTTTATTACTTCATTGATTAGAAACGAAACCAAGAAATCGAATTCTTGTACATATGATGAAGTATTTGAATAGTTGATAGATATTGAGTTAAGATAACCTTATTCTATATAATGAAAAATAATTATATTTTACACAATATCTTGTTTTCTAATAGGATATTTATTATGAAAATATTTTTCAAATAGAGAAAAGTTTACAAACTAAACTTTCACCATTCTTTTTTC